CCCCAGCCCACCCCGCCCCACCCCACGCCCGGCCTGTGGGGCAGGCTCACCTCTCCACGGCAGAGAAAGTGGTTGTCGCTCCCCGCATGTAGTAATCGTAGCTGTAGGACACCATGTCCATCTCCTCCCCGTAGTGGCCTGGGTATTCTGTCGTCAGCCTTTGTGGGAAGAACAAGAGGTTAGAGGAGACAGAGTCGCCGTTACTGCAGGGGCCCCGTGGAAGACGCGCCCCGAAGAAGCGATGCCGTTGGCACGTGGCGTGGGACCAGCCCAGGGTGAGAGCCCCTCCCGGCCGCAGGAAGAGGAGCGACTTTATTCCTTCCCCTGGACGTGAAACTGTGCCCCGAAAGGGCCATCGGCGACTCCTCGGCCCTCGAGGGAGTGCGCATTCGTGTTAACGTCAGTCCGTTCCGTTCGAGTCCGCGGGGCTTCCAGCCTCCATGGAGCCTCATTAGTGGGTCCTGACATCGGTGTAGCGGGTGGTTACCAACGAGCTTCATAAAAGAGGAAATAGGACAGAATCTGTCAGAGAATGCCTTGCACACACCAAGGATGGGTTCTCGGGTATGCGCGTAAAAACTGTTTTGAATATACGTGTGTGTGTGTGTGTTTATGATGTATGTGTGGCAGTTTAATCTGTTTTTTTTTTTTTTTTGCTGTGACTCATGATTGAAAAAGTACTTGAAAAGTGTTAGGGTGAATGTGAGCTCGCCCAGGGCGGTGTGTGCCGTGGCCACCGCTGTTTCTGGAGCACCAAACAGCCCCTGGTACATAGTAAGTGTTCCCCGAATAGATCGATGGCCTTGGGGTGGTCGCAATCTCAGCGTCCTGGTCTGCGACAGCCACGTAGAGGGCCGTCGTCGGCGCTGACACAAACATGCGTGTTGAGTCGTGAGGGGCGATTTTGTTTTTCCTTCTCCTTCTCCTTCTTTCAAGATGAAGTCAGTTTCGGGCCTCGTGACCAGTAGGGTCCGTTGTGTCCCACCGCGGAATGAGCCTCGTTCTCATCGGGATCTTCAGGACATCGGTAGTCCCTCCGATCGGAAACGGGTCCCCGAAGCCTTTATCTGCCCCTCCAGGGCTGCTTGAGACACAACTAGCCGTATGTTGGTAGAAAGACCCACCCGATGCAGACTTCGTGTTCAAGGATTGTCGTGAGATCTCGAGGAGACTGACTCCTAGGCCGGAAGGTCTCCCAGGAGGCCCTGGGGGCTGCGACGCGGCAAGGTCAGAGGCGGCGCGGGGTCGGCCAGACCGAAACCCGCTCTCTGGGCTCACGGCCGTCCTTTCCCACATTAGGTGGCCGTCCTCATTCCCTGCTTTCCCTCTTCCCCACACGTGGCCGTGCTCCCAGGACACCAAGCCCAAACCAGAGCGGGCTACGCGGGAGTGGAAACGAGGCTCTGCTGGTTCCGAAATCCGTTTTGTGCTGGAAAGAGACGCAGGACAAGGACTTCCTCTTTCTGATGAAAATCTTCAATGACTAATAAATGGATCTGATACATCGGTTTGCAGTCCCTGAGGATTCTAGCAAGCGCTAGGCTGACCTTGACCCAAAGGAAGGGGAATTTGTTTAGAATGTGAATAATGCAAATTAGGACAAACATGTGGGGTAAGAGGTGTTTCTCTCACTTCAGGGAAATGCAAAATGTTTTCCAGAACTTTTGAGCCCCTCTACTGTAGTGTATAAAGGTGAATTGCCAAACCCGTTTATATGTGTTAAGGCAGAATCTACCTCCGGCAATGCTGCCTCAGGCTACGTCCAATTGCCAAAACTTATTTGGAAATAATCAGGCTGGATTGTTATTTTTTAAGTTTTCACTGATCTGCCTTCATATTACTTGGATAATTAAATACATTTAGAATAAAGTGGGAAAGAGAGACCTGCATTTTTAAAAAAAACACATGAAGTTCTAAGCTTCAAGGTGGGGAGTCATCCAGGGCTTTCTTTAACACGCTTTCCCTGGCCCTTTATTTGTGGTCCTGACCAGGCAGCCCTTATTCTACTGGACTGTTTGTGCGGGAAGCATCGGTGCAGGAGACGGCTGTCCAGTGAATTTATAGAACACCCCGGAGAGTGCTCACTGGGGCCTTTCCGTCTTGGTCCCAGAGAAGTTTTAGTTTTATGCAATTTTTTGGTGGTGGTTTTCTTTCATTTGTTATAAAACCATGAGATCAAGGTTAGACTAAGTTATAAAGAACTCTGGATTGGGGGGGCGGGGGCTGAGGAAGGAGTCAGATATTGATAGAAATTACTCCCACTTTACGAATCTAAAAAGATGCTATCGTGTGTTCCTCCTAGCACTTTTGGATGAGTGACTGTTGGGGTACGATTTCTCTCCTCACAGTACTTTTTCCGCCCTCCGCGGGCAAGAGGAGACAGAGAGTTGTTCCAAAGCGAATGAGAATTTGCTGACGTCCAAATCCAGGGGGAGCATCGGCCTCCCGGACGGTACCCACAGAGGGAGCTGCTCATGGGTGGGCTGCGGGGACCAGGGAAATGGCTCTCCCTTTTGCTCCTGATGACGTCACGCACCCCCGTCCTTGTAAACGAAAGCCCCAGTAATAGCTCCGCAGAGAGGAAGTGAGAATCTAAACCTTCAGAACCTGAGGCTTAGACCGGGGCGTCGTGTCTTGTCAGGAAGTTAGAAGAGGCCGCGAGGGAGCCAGGGCTCGGGGCTGCGTGAGCCGCGGCACCCAGCTTCCTGGGCAGGCGCCGGAGACTTCGGGGTGCCGCCAGCTTCCTCGTGACTCCCTAGGGCCCTTCAGGTGGCTTTTGGGCGAAGCACCCTGCACGCCGATCTCTGCTGTATGTTCCCAGACCCGTTAAAGCAACCGAAGAAGCCTTCAGCTTGGCAAGATGAAGGGGAGGGCCGATCACAAAGGCACCTGTGTCCCACTTACTGAGATGGGTCTGTGTGTGCGTGTGCATGTGTTCGTGTGCACGTATGTGCGCGTGCATGCATGTGCATGTGCACGTGTATGTGCACGTGTGTGCACCTGCGTGTATGTGCATGTGCACGTGTGGGTAGGCACCTGTGTCCCACTTACTGAGATGGGTCTGTGCGTGCGTGTGCATGTGTGCACGTGTGTGCATGTGCACGTGTGTGTGCGTGCATGTGTATGTGCACGTGTGGGGGGACGGGTGTGCACGCTAAGTGAGACCTGGCCAACATAGAACCACTCGTACAGCTTCTTGTGTTAGATGAGGTTGAAGGTTGAATGAGATTAAATAATATCTTCCTGGTGAGCTGCAGAAAACCCATGTGCACGGAAGGGCCTTTAAAGATCGATTGAGGGTTTTCTCATCTGAGATTCTTACAGCAACTAACGTGGCCAGCAGACCCGCTGGAACCAGCATCCGATGGCTGACCAGTTACACAGCGGGAGCTGTAGCCGACGGGTGTCATGAGAACAGGAGATAGCGCAGGCTCAGCCCAGATATGTTAGCATGTTTCTCATTTTAAAAAGGCAGGTAGAGATACAATTTAGTCAGCGAGGCTCGTTTTACTTATTGTCACAGGTTTGGTTGAGAACTGATGTGGTTTTTCAGAGTCGGAGGAAGGGGTTTGCGGTCTATTCCTGTGTTCTACGTCCAGCTGAAGAGAGCGTGTCTGCTTCTGACAGGCAGATCATTGAGAAGTTTCTTGAATAAGCAGCATCTGTTTGTGGCCAGTCTGTTTCTGCTCTCCCAGGTGACAAGGAGTGAGACTATTTCAGGACAGACTAACTTGCCAACGGGGGCCGCATCAGAACCTGCTTGAGTTAGTTTTGCAGAATAAGACAGACGGAACCCGGATGCAGTTATCCACAGAGGAAGGCGCCCTCAAAGGAACAGCACCCCGGCCTCTCCCCCTAAGAGCTGGGGAAACTGGTCAAGTGGGACCCAGTAGCCAGGGCCTCTGCGGACACCAGAGTGTCCTCTGTGGAGACACCCTGAACCCTGGCGCCTGAGAAGGAACGCCATATGTTCATGTCCATCCTCTCGTGGCATTTCAGAGGTTTATATTTCGAAAAGTACTACTACGTATCATAACCCAGGGAGCACATCATAAGTCCCAGAGATATCTGTGGCTTAAATTAGAAGAGGAAAGTCCCTAAGTATTTTCCAAATTGCTCTCTTGGAGCGGAGTGTCGCGCTCACTGTCCAGGCCCAGGCCGGGCCAGCAAGCACATTTGTTTCGACGCACGCTGGCTTTCATCAGCCACATGGGCTTCCGCCCGGCTAAGAGCAGTGCTGTCTCCTCTGTTTCCAGGTCCAGAAGCCGGCGGTGCTGTTACCTGCTCCTCCATCTGTGTAGTGCCTGTCTCCTCCCCAAGCTCGGGAGAGCTCAGGGCTGTGCAGAGCATGGGGGTTTGGAGGCGGGGAGACCTGTGGGGCTGAGTTTGGAACTGTGAACAGGTCACGGCTTCTGCATGTAGCCCCCGCTGTGTGTGTCATCTATAATTACGATACTGTGTAATTCAATATCACGATTTCCGCCTGTGAGAAAAGTGAATGGGCTGGCACACGAGCACGTAGTAGGTGCTCAAGAAATAAAAGTTGTCACCATTGTCACCACCGTCATTAGGAGCCGAATCAAAGCCTGCGAATGGTGCTCGTTTTATATCCATTCACAGTCATTGGCCAGTTAAATGAGTTCACGAGAGGCGGAACGAACAGTTGTTTCTAGAGTCCCGTCAAGGGGACTCGGTAGAAGGAAGGGGAAGGAGGAGGAGGCGACAGACTCGCCTGCGGCCGCGAACGCTTCGGTCTGCGATGGTGAGGTGGACTGCGCTCTGAGGGGCTAGCGGGGCCCGGCCTGGCGTTAGACCACCAGCCACGTCTCCGAAGCCCCTGCCGTTGGAGGCAGGAGCCGTCACCACTGTGCAGGCAGCAGAGACCTTTCTCAGTTCATGCGGCGCAGTGACCGCGACAGCCACTCCGGCCAACAGAGGTACAACTGTTTCCGCTCCCGCTCAGAGGGGCTGGTGCCCCAGGCGAGGGCTTTGTGTGTCACACTCTGCAAGGCAGTGGTTGTTCGCAGGGCACAGAAGCATCTGGGCTGCACGCGAGCCGCTCTGAAATGTAACCGCCAGCCCTGTTTTCCCCACGCGCGGGTGTCTGCGTCTCGGTACCGACGGCTTCCAGCTTTCCGAGGGGAGCGGGGCAGAGCTGCCCTTCTCACAGGCCACTGGGTGCGGTGCTGCAGCAGGCAGCTGGGTGGCGGGGGTGGAGGGGGTGACAGACGCCTCCGTGGAGGTTCCTGTGAGGTCATACTGTCCCTCCCAGGATTTCGCAGGGGAAGGTCAAGGTCGTGCAAACACTACCCATCCTGTATTCAATCTGGACAGTGGAGTAGGTGTTAAAGATTAGCTGTGACCGAGAGCCTTGGAGTGGACGAAGAAGAACATTCTGACCTACTGGTCTGGGTGCTGTTTTGCTAACTGGAGCTATCTAGGGATTAAGGATACTGGTCTCTGGTTTGGCCTGAGCATAAGGGAGAGAGGAGCCTGCAATGCGGCTGGCACCGTATCAAGGTCGAAGTGAGACTGACTGGTCATCTATGTTGATTCTGAGGAAGGAGATCACGTTTGAGTCAGAACACATCATCTAATGAATTAATGAAAGGCCAGGGGTCCGGGAAGAGCCATTCGGAGAAGGGACTAGATGCTGTGTTCAGACCCTTGGTCCTGGAACCCAGTCCCTGCCAACATGGCACTGGCCAGGGCCGGGGGCGTCTGGTGGGCAGCGGCTGGAGCGGCTCGGAGGCTGGGGAGTCATCATAGGCTGTCTCTGGAGGGCTGTGGCTTCCTCGGTGACATGTTTGTGGTTTGCAGACGACCGACTAGACTAGGAATTCGAATTCTCATACGTAAGTAGCACATGCGAACTTCGCGTGTGTCGAGTGTGGCGGGCGCCCTTCGTGGTGACGCACCTGCATCCGTGAGGAGTTCACTTTCCTGCCAGAAGCGGCGATGCCTCGCGGGAGACGGCACGGACCGTGCGGGCAGCAGCACCTTGGTTCCCAGCAAACGCACAAAGCCCTGCGCGCTCGGACCTGGCGGGTGACAGGCTTTTTCCGGCCCGGGGCGGTGCTGCTCCGCAAGCCCCAGGGGTTCGCCCGTGCCGACGGTAGGTGCTCACTGTCCCGAACAACATCGGCTCCGTGCCACACAGTGGCTTTCGCAGTGGGGAGAGAAAAGCGTCCCCAGCTACAGGCGCCCAGCCTCCTGGGAGGGGACCGAAGCCAGCGAACGCAGCGTGAGATGGGGTTTCAGGGAGGAGGGTCATGACGGGAAAACACCTCCCGCCCCGAAGGCCGTCAGAGGGTCAGAGAAGGCGATGCACGTGTCAGGAGCTCTTCCAGGTGTGACACAGCGTCCGAGCAACGTCACGCCTCACCGTCACTGCTGTCCCCAGGGGCCCGCAGCAGTCGCTGATTCGTCCCACACATTCATGAAGGGCCGACTTCGTGCCGGGCAGGACGCCGAGATGCCGAGAAACGAGACCTAGTTTATGCCCAGGAGGCTTCGTTCGAATCGGAAAGCCACGTCATCACGTCATGGCTCGGGCGGTCGAAAGTGGGGCAGTGAGCCGCGCACCGTGTACCCGATGCTCACGGCAGAGTCGCGTTCTGCTGCCTCTCCAAGTTCCCCTTTGAAAAAGTCCCATTTTCCGTGACAACCAAGGCAGCTCTCAGCTCCAACACCAGGCGAGGCCTTCCTTAGCGAGGCCGGCTTTGAAGTCCACCTGCCGTGTCTTTCCGGGAAATTCTCTCCCCCTCCCCCCACCTCTGGATTCTCCCGACCACCAGGACACGTCTGGGCAGTGGGGTGAGGTGATGACGGGTGAGGGCCGGGGTGGGGTGAGAGCGAGTCCTTGCAGACCAAGGCCAGGGGCACATTTTGCCACCCGAGACCCGAATGTCTCGGGCAGCCTGCGAGAAGTCGCTCACTCCACCTGCCAGGGCTTTGTTCCCACACATACGGTTCTGTGTTCTCTCACTTCTTAGCATCTTACTTGGCGAGCTGCAGGTAAGGGAGAGTGGATGTCATTTTGAAAGCGTGTGTGAGAAGAAGGACTCAGCCCTTGCGGGGGGAGCAGGCGTAGCCTGGAACCAGCCCCCTCCCCCCGGTGACCCCTGGAAGTCTGGGGCATCACCAGCAAAGCAGTGGAATTTCGAGAAGTCGAGACCTGGGGTGGGGTGGGGTGCGTCTTTCAAGTCTCAACGTGCAAATAAACAGGGACAGCTTCAAGCAGCGATGCTTACGGTGTGGACGCAGACGACAGAATCCGGGACGTGTGGGGGCTCTGGGACGTGCAGCTATTTGCCCTTCGCCCCGCCTGACCTGCCTCCACCCCCACCTCAGCCGCTCACCGTTTCAGAAACCAGCGAGCTGCATTTCTCGCCCGCCTTGTCACCAAAGCCTCGGGCTCCCGCCTGCTGTCCCCTCTCACTGGGGCCCCGCTGTCTTCAGAACCTTCATCCTCTCTTTGAAAACAGTCTGGGCATCTGGACTGCCCTTTGCAAAAGCAGCTCTGGAGTCAAGACACTTTCAAGGCTCAGTAGAACCCCAAAGACCTTCTAGTCCTGGGGGTTCAGCCTGAGACCCCGCATGCCTGTGGGTGGCCTTCGGGAAGCATGATGGCTCCTGAAATCCGCTGCGGACTTGTGTGCGAACTTGCTTAAGTGCATTTCCTTTTTCCTGAAGGCAAAGTCTGTAGCTTTCATCAGATTGTTGGACCCAGGAAAGGCGATCGTCATTGTGAGTGATAGATTTGAGGTTCCCTCTATAGAGGCACAGCTGCAGTGGGGGAAGGAGGCGGGGGCCGGATAAGGAGGGGACGAGGCAGAGACTCGGCTCCTTTTGGGTGGTCTTTGGCTTCAACTGAGGACTTGCGTCTTTGATTAGCAGTCACCCTCACCCTGGCCCTGCAGCTCGCCTGGCGGGGAGGGAGAGCTGCAGGAGGTCCCTGCTCCGTCACAGGGCTACTGATACCCGCTGCCTTTGAGCTCTGAATTCACTCTTCGCCATTATTTTAAACAGAAAAATGCTCAGCTTTGGGGGGCTGCCTGTCCCCAGAGACGTGTCACCCCTTTTGGGCGTCTGTGGAGTAACACCATCCGTAAGCATAACCCGCAAGGCTGCCCTTGCAAGCGCCACACCACAGGGATGAATCAGCCTGCAAGTGTGGATGCTTTGGAGTCCCTTTGTGCGAGGCAGAAATGCATGGCTTGTTTGTGGACCGAAGAACTGGGGCGAGTTGTGTCGTCAGCACCCAGCGTCCGTTGTCGGGGTCAATAAATGCGTGGGCATTCTCCCGGCGAGTTCGACGGCTGGGTCCGGGGTGTCCAGCCTCCGCGCAGGGAGCGAGACAGACAGCACTTCACAGACTGGAGCCACAAGGTGATCTCGGGAGCAGTAGACTCTGTTTCGTGCGTCTGTAATTACGTACTGTGTTTGCCGCACGGACCTGTGACAGGGTTGGCGTCTTCCAAAGAAAGTCTGCAGGGAAATGGTAGTTCTCAAACAGGTCCGGCAGCCTCAGGTGTGATGAGAAGTTAGTCCCAGCGACACAGGGAAAGGACGCTGGGACACGAGGCAGCGGACGCGAGCTCTGGAGGCCGCCCCCGCCCCATGCAACAGCCGGGTGGCTCTGGGCAAGTCCCTTCCTCGCTCTGTCGTTCTGTGTGTTTATTTTTCTGCCTAAAGAGGGATGTGGAGCATGGGGCTGGCGACCTGGAAGGTTCCTCCTGGTGAATATT